GAGAATGTTCCGAAAACTGAATCGTTTCAACTGAATCACCAGTATTTGCGGTAAACGCCATAAAGTGATCTGTTTGGTCGCCTGTTGGCTCTCTTTACACTTCGGACAATACCTACATTCAAATGGATATTCAATTAGAAATGCATACAATTGTGTCATCAAATCTGGTTTACAAACCATGGATTATCTGAAGTAAGTTTCTCGGGCTGTGTGTGAAGCCGCAGACAGTCGGTCAAATCTACCACTTCTTTAGTGTGACTATTGGTGTGCTTGTGATCAGTGATAGCGCAGAGACCCATCAGTGGCTCCACTTTCGCCCAATTATCGCCGAATTTGCGAGAATTAGTCCAATCCATGGCAATGTGATAGTGGTTTAGCGTGAGGTGCGTGTCGTAACCGTCATCATCGGTGGGTTCGATGGTGTTTTCGGTGTCCTCTTTGTTCCAATTCTGATAGAACTTCAGTTTGAATGGCGGCGGAGTCGGGAACTCATTCAGATTCAACGGCTCCGACAATTGCATCGAATGCCTGGCGTACGAGTAGATGATTGTCCACAGCTGTCGGTACGTGAGCTGCGATTTGGGAACCGTTATGATGAATGGCGTGGCCGTTATCTCAGGCCTATACACGCAATCCTTCTTATGCGACGGCCAATGGTTTTGTTGACACGTTCTGTCGGGACAGACAAACCAATCAAATCATTTTAGTAAAGAGTTAGAAATGAAAAGAAAGTTGTGCCCAAAAAAGCTATCACTTACTTATCACAATAGGCCACCCGATGGCAAGTGAGGCACGCCTTGAGCTCTACATTATCCCAACCGCTGTTTTTGTCACAATTAGCACAGGAGTCGCTCTTCGGGGGTTCCGCTAATCGCTAATTCATAAACACGACAGTCATTTACAATTCATATAAATTGAGTCAATCGTATGAGGGGTGGGGGCGAAAGGAAAGGTGTGGTCACATACCTGGATCACTACGTACTCCATTATCTCTTCGTTCGGTTCCGTCGCTACCATTAGTTCAAAAATTAATAGATATTTGTTGACCTCAGGCTTATTGAGCGTCCAGTTTGGCTGAAGAAACTTCTCGATGGAACCCGAGTTTAGGCATTGAAGACATCGTAACTAAAAATCAAATAATATTAAAAATGAAGATAAAATTGATAATTAGTTGTGACCGACAGCTGAGGCGTCGACTCCGGTAAGCGTTGAGATCTCGTCCAACATGTTCTTTACGACACAGTCTTTCGGCAATTTAAGCAAATACTTCGTTGGCCTCGAAGTCGACATTCCGTTCGCGTCTCGTTTGAAGAAATACACCTCATATTCGACTTTCGGTTTCGGTAACGGAAGGGACAGATAGACAAATGGATCAAATGTGACCGAAACCTGTTATAAGACACCAATTATATCAATAAAAGTTGACAATACAAGACAATGAAGGCCTACTTTAGCACATATGGGACACACGAGTTTGGACTTGTATTGGCCGTAAAATTGTTGCGTTACTATCGAGTCGTTCAAAAGGCCAAACGTGTGCCACGACTGGTCGGCCAGCGTCTGGTCGTCTATGGGTTCGTCGGACTCGTCGTCGCCGTCCTTCTCATCCTTAATGACGGGCCGTTCGCGGCGTCGGTTGAGGTCTTCGTGGAGCACATCCAAGAGGAAGGCGCAGAACTCTTGGGCGTCCTGTTGCATGTACGATGAAAATGTAGAACACTTTTCGCCCATCCGTTCCTTCAGCTTCACGGGCGCCACCGATGTCTCCGTTCCCGACCACAGCTGTCGCATCAGATCGGCGAACGTCCGACAGATAACGCCTCCCGAGCCGAACGGGTTGTTCGTATTGATGTCCGGCACATAACTACCCGCTGTTTGAGATAAACAAAGAGTTCAAATATTGATATCAATGTAAAGTTAATTATAGAGCGATGCAAAACAACTGAACGGTGGCTCACATGTAAAGTAGTCCCGAAAGGGGTCGGTGTTTGAAAGGCACTGAACGACAGAATTCATAAAACAAGTGTTGCCTAAATTCTGTAAACCCGTGTAACCAACGGCTTTGGGCCGCACTTTGCGCGGAGGGGTCTGAGCGGTGGCCGCGTTATTGTTATCGTTAGGCACCAGAACGATCTCTTTGCCGTGCGATGAGGTCTCGTCGGCCACTTTGGACACGTGATTGGCGCTGGTGTTGATCCACTGCTGGATTGCGTCCGATTTGGGTGATAACGGCTTCACATCGTTCGCATGCTTTGACATATACCACGCGTTGGGCTCCTCTTTGTCGAAACGGTTCCAACGAAACTGCAAACATTCCTTCTTCTTGAGCCTGAATTCAATCTTCACAATCGATACAACGAAATCACATTCAGACGGTATTACTGTTCCGCTAATTGGCCACAAAAACAGATAAAACAATGTTTTAATAATGCATTAAATTTGAGGCTTTAATTATCATTACTAAAGAGTCCGCCGCCAGAGATGCCATGTGTTCTCATCGCCGACGACTGTGTAACGGAACTCAATCACGTCTTCGGCAAACTTTACGCGAATCTCATCCACACGCTTAACAAAGACATACAACCGCAGCATATCGTCCGTCTGGAAAATGCAAAATATGTCATTCAAATACATTTCCTTTGCCATCACATGACAAAAACAACGAGTTTGAGGGCATCGGTAGGCAATGCTATCAACACAACAAATAGTATCAAAACAGTGGCTAAACCTCAGCGATGTCTGTCTTATGTTCGCGCGACATGTCAACCATAGGGGGGTCGCCGTCGGCGGTCATCGCAGACCTCTCATCCGTCTCGACGTCAGCGTTGCGGTCGACCACCTCTTGCGGAGGGTTGAGGTCGAGGTTGAGCTCAATATCGGTCAGACCAGTGGTCTCGTCGATCATCAGCTCCACGTCTGACGTGTCGTTATTATCATTGATGTCTCCGTTCATCCGGAGTGTTGCGGACGGCCTGTTGTCATACGTATTGCGGTTATCGATGGCGTCGTCGCAATCCGAGTCCATGTGTTCGTCGGCCGGCGTCGACGGATCCGACTCGAGGCCATTGGTGTCGCCGATGGACTGTTGCGGACAGCTTTCGATCAATTTGAAGCAATCAGAGGCCGATTGGTTGCTATAATTGCGGTGAATCTTGCGATTAATGCCAGTCGTCGGCGGCGACGGCGGCAGACAATCGTTAACGTCATCGGCGGTGCCAGTGATGGCCGCTTTGGATATCTTGTTGAGCGGGCCGTTCGTAGCTTTCGTCACCGGTTGACCATTGGATCCGTTGGTTCCGCCGTTCATCTGGTGATAATCTGTGGTCACATTATTGCCATCCATTGACATCTTATTCGCTGAATCCATGCAATGATCGATAGCTTAAGACAAGACAATAGTCGGCCAATCAATTCATTGGCGACAATGAAAACAACACAAAAGTTGTCAAATGTATTGATTGTGTGAACAGTAATAACAATACTATTATTATTGTCACAAATTGTCGATTACTGTCAATACAAACACCGATTGATTGCAATAATGGTTTCAATTAAAAGCCAATTATGACTACAATTA